GATCATTGTTGTCTTGTAAAAAGTGATATATTTTTCACCTGTTTGGATTCTGTATTAGTGGTCTGAAGAAGAGCAGGTCACTCCATAAACTGTGGATGGTCTGATAAGGTTTTTACTGACCCACTGACTTCAGAGTTACACTCTGTTTACTACATCATAATGCTGGTTTTGCTGACTTTTTGTTTTTTTATATATTTATAAAAAAAGAAAAAGTTGGTAATGCAATGGAAGCCCCCAGGGTGTCACTGGGCCTGTGTGGGGAGTGTTAAGCAGACTCCTAGGGACACTGTTGCTCTCGATGTTCCCGATCCAGGTAAGGAAACAGCCGGTCAGCCCAATGCAAAATGCATACACGAGTTCAGTATTGTCTCTGTTGCGTTTGTTTTATTTCATTGAGAAAATCAAACCAGCATTCCCCGTTGTGTAAATAAATGATTTTGCTGAATAAAATAAAGTCTTAAATTCATATGTCGAAGCAATTTTTTTTAAAGTTCTGATAGTCTTAAAGAGGGTGGTTTACTTTTTGATGGTCAGCAATTTAGAAATCCTAGAACTATGCTATATTTCCTCTCATTTATACTTTCAACATAGGATTTATATGTACATCAAATATATTCATGAACTAGTATTTAATGGTTATTTTTACAAATATCTAACTTAGGCCGGTACAGCAATTGTGACATTATCTTGAAGGAAGACTAAATACCCAAAAAAGATAGATCTAAATTCTCAATCCTGTGCCTCTGTTTTAGGATGTAAGTATTATTGCCATAAATTAAACTTTAAATAAAGATGAGAAAAACGCTTCTGAAAGTTTATAGAATCTTATATGATTTTCAAAGTAGGCCATCAGAAAGAACTTAGCAATTCTATTTCCACAAAAGGCTAAGGTAGTCAGAACATCTTCAGTGTAGGTTACCTGCACGCTTATTTTTGGAACAAACACATTTAAACTTCAGAGTTTTTGTTATTGCATGTGATATGGATGACTTATTTATACACTAGAATCTGCTTCATTTATCTTTACATATGTTTAAGTCTACTGATATTAAAACATTTATTCAAAAAAAGATGTGGATATAAAAAATCCTATCTGAGATGCATAAACATGTCATCAAAATAGAGAATGTTCTCAAATATTTTTGAGACAGTTTGATCAGTCTTTATAAGTGAAAACAAGTTAATTAGGTGACTCAATGGTAGATTATTTTGTGTGTGCATGCTAAGAAAACTTGCTTTAGTTAGCTCTTCAGTGAGCCTCAATGTGGTAAAGAACAATAATCAGTTTAAGTATCTTTTAAGATAGAATTTTAAATAGGCATGAACTGTAGTGGGAACTGACTTTTAGTAAACATAACTAATATAGTATGTTAGGTAAATTTAGCAAGTTTACCTAAAGAACATAGATTGCTCATGAGGCTTTTTTTAATCTCTTAAGTACAGGTTAGCTCTAATTATTTCATGAATTTTAACACTTTTAATGTAACTTTTTTTTCGGGTTCATATCCATTGTTTCTAAGTTGTGTATTCAAGTTTGGGAAATGTTTATTTAAAAATTGTTTTGCTATACAAGTGTTTTAAACATTGTATTTAAGAGTGGCCTGGACTTAAAAATATTTGAAATCAGCTATGCGTGCCTTTTAATTTTTTAAGTATTTCTTACTACCACATACAATGTGAAATCACAGTAAGTTGCTTAGTGACATAATTGCGGTATCTGCTTGCTGTTGGGAAAATCAGATCAGATACCGAAATTGTTCCTGTGCCAGAGTACGGGAAAGAGAATGTAATTGTTAATAAAATACACCCAATCTTTTCTGTGCTGCAACAATGTGTAGTAATTTGTTTTCTTCATTTGTTTCTACTGCCTTTGTGTACATATTATAAAAGTTCAAATTTTCTCCCAATCTATTAGCAGTTCAGATGATCCCTAATTTATTAAATATGCCTTTACTCACAATTTTTTATAGGTTATTAAGTCTTAATGCATCATAGAAGTAACTAATGACTTTTTATGACAGTACTTAAAATAATGTAGTTATCACCAGTTATACTGTGGAGTTTGCAGAATTTTCTATTGTATAAACCAAACCTTTAAATTAGCTTGGCGTGAGGAGTCTTTAATGCGTGTAAAGAGGAGAAGGGGTTTGTAGTTGAAGATTTACTACTAGTCTCTCTTAGAAAGGTGTAGCGAATTAGACTCTGTCCTTTTAATCACTGAGGCATTTGGTTCTGCCAGTATGTGTCCATAGCTTTTCTGTATGGCTACCAGTCAGTACCTTGAGAATTTTCAGTGGTTTTATACTTCGTTTTAATTTTCTGAAGTAAACTAAGCATAGAATCCTGGCTAATTGAATTCTAATGTCTCATTTTATATTAAGGGTCCTCCATTTGTCACAACCAAAATTTATCCAAAGTTGTTACATTAAGGAGACTTCTGTTTTCAGTTGTCTCAATTTTCTGCTCCTTCACACCCAGAACTGTCCCATCTGTTTGATATTATTGGCCAGGAGAGATTCTGAAGACAGGATATCTTAATTTTCAAGTCTTGCCACTCCCTCCAGGAGTCTTAAACACAAATACCAGAGTGTTACAACTAGTGAAGGGATGGAAAAGGACTTGAAGGTAAAAAATGGGCCTCAATGGGAAAATGTAGAAATGAGTGTTAAAGCTCAAACAGTAGGCCTTTTTTCATTTATTGAACAGCCACTTAATGGTCTTAATTATCACCCTTGCAATTTGTAATGTTTTTTGTTTACTCTCATGTTAACTTGTAGCTATCCAGAAACATGAGGTTGCTAGTAGGGCAGTAATGTAGATTTGAATCTGCCAATACGCTGCATTTATGCATTTGGTAGCCGATTTGTCATTGGTTTTCAGGTGGTGAGAGTAACTGGTGCCTAGGAAACAACAGAAAGGGGACACGGAGGACCCAGTATAAATTCAAATCGGGGTGCCACTTGAAAAGATTCTTTTACTGACCTTCAGTAGTTGGCTGATGAGAGAATGTTGAAATAGTTCTGTTTTCTATACATATTTAGTCTTTCTGTGTCTGAAAGCAGTAAGTTGAATAAAATCTTCACTGTTCAACAGTTTCACTACCCTTCAAGTAAATTGTGTGTTAAATAGTGTCTATGTCTTCTAAGATAGTTGTGAAAGTGCTTGTTACTAAACCTAGCTTAGAGTAAATGGGGCTTGTTCTTTGTTACACGTTTGGAGAATGTCCCCTTTCTCATTTTCCAGGCTTTCACTATGGCTTAAATACATAAGTAACAAGGAATTAATAAAGGAATATGAAATTGCAGCTGGTTCTCAAGTGCTGTTGAATCTCTTACTGTAAAGTGGAATAAAGAGGGAGCAAAAATGGTCTTTTGGACCCTTAAGACCATTTTATCTTATGACTGCTATCAGTAATAGCCCTTAACATGTTCAGAGCAGAATTTATGAAAGTACGTAGTATGTCCTTATCTTAATCAGACCATAAAGAGAGTCCTAAAGAAGTTACAAGTGTTTGAATTAATGAGCGATAAAAAAAAACCACAGCTAGCTGGTGATCTGCTCATTTATCTCCACCAAATAAACCCAATTTAGAATGGTGACTGGAGGTTGGCTGGTCTCTAATGCTGATGGTTTGCATATAAGGAATTTTCATTACAGGTGCCCAAGTTATCTGGAGCCCTAACTATTACCACATACCCTGCTTTTGCAGTGATGTTACAGAAGCAATGACAGATGGAGCTGTAGATTTAAATGACTACTATAGTGGCAAATAATGGTATTTTAGATCGATAAGGAATATTCCCTTGTGGCCTCTGAGGTATGAGTTGTCACTAAATTTTCAAAACGGGAAAGATTTTCTTTTGCTCAGGAGCCCAATGTAGTAACCTATACATTTCCTGCCAAACTCATAAATAAGGAGAAGCTAATTTAAGATGCCTCAATGTGTAATAATTAAAATTTAGAAGCAGATAGATGGAGCAGGAGTGTATGGCAAAACATCTAAGAATGGGTTTTATTTTACTGTGGTTTCATAGGGTCTTCCCCTCGAGTAAATTTGAGCCAAGTGTCTTGCAAAAGAGTTCTAAACATCAGTGACTGTTATGAAATAAATTGCATGCAACGCCAGAAAATTAAAACAGCTTTAGAGGCTTACAACCACACAGAAAGTTCATGGCTTAGACAACAATCAATGTACACATACGTCAAATTTCAGTATTTTTTCTGTAATGTTCTATTTAGATAAGGCTTCCTCCGTGTTTACAGAAGTTATGTTAGAAATATCTTCTCAAGTACATCTTAGAGTTGATGTATGACTGACTGTACATGGAATATGTAAGGAACAACTGAAAGTTTTAAAGACCAAAACATGCCCCTTTTGGGCATGAGAAGGACAGAAGCATGGCTAGTAAGGTGCATTTACTTGGACAAAATTGATCTCAACGAATTGGATGTCCAACCTTTACATTTGCCACCTCATTCTACATTTGTTGAAGCCGTTATAAACTTTTATAATTGAAATAAAGTTTTTCTAATCCCCAAAGTTTTAATTTGACTTTTAGAAACAGTTGAAAACATCCTCAGCTGAACTAAAATCCCATTTTCTGATGGGTTTAAAAATGCTGGTAAAATTAACGATTTTTAGAAACAACCATGTCTAACAATTCAAGTAAAATGAACTCCAAATACAAAGATGTACTAAAGTGATGTGACTTACTGATTTGGCTGCTCGTAAAATTTCAGCTTTGCCTTGTACATGTCAATATGACATTTTTTGCCTGGCATGATATATGTACAATAACATATAACTGGCTTGATGTGATAGTTTTAGTTACTCATCTAAGCAGCACTGGAAAGTTAGCATCTTGAAGTCGCTATTGCCAATGCTTTTCACATAGTCTAGGGCTAATCGTTCCATATTCACTGAAAGTAAAAGGATGCATGTGCACACACTCTAAAGTTACACAAAAGAAATCTGTAGGATTTTATTTTTTGGCCAAATACACACTTGAGTTCTTTTAAATGCAATTTTTATATGTATATTTACATTTTTCTCAAGGTAATATGCTTTAGATATAATAAGAGTATCTTGATTTACTAAAACTGAAAGCCAGGGCTATTTTCAGACAACACTAATTTCCTTTATTTCCTCTATTCTACTTGGAGAGAGGATATAAGAACTAAGAAGTCACAATTTAAATTTCACACTCAAGTTTGCTAAGTTTGAAAAGTGGTACTGAGATACTCAGCTTTAGTTCTTTTAAAAGATCGTTAAGCTAGCTTTATTATTTCAAATGAATTAGATATTTTGAGCTAACTTTAAAAGACTACTTTTTCACTCTTGTGACGTTTTATGAGTAATACTGTCTGCTCCTGCCTGGTTTTTTAGTCGTCCTGGGAATCGGCCGAAGACTTCGGCCAAATCGGTTGGTTTCCCGTCTTTTAAGACTTTTCAAAAAAGTATTTACTCAATTTGGAGGCTTATTCGAAAGTAGTAATTGCGTAAAAGAAAGTCGTTTCCTTTAAATCTATTTGGAGTAATATGGATGTATTCGGTACCTCGCGTGCCTTAATGTTTTAGATCTAGTTCACACATTTTTGACACTTCCAGTTGAACTGTACATTAACTTGTTTCGAAAAACGAACACTCAATGTAGCATAAACATCTTCGAAATTTGTTAGAATAGTGAAAGAAAAAACTAGTAAGCATCCAGGAGATGTTTTGGTATGTATTCTAAATTTAGCTTAGTGGATAATTCTGCTGAAAAAGTAGTTTAGAGGAATACTGTCCAGTTCGTTGCGTTTGAAATATTAAATCTGGCGTAGACAGGATTCTTCAGCATCTTGCAGGGATACGGCATATTTCTCTTTTTTCAAACGTTGAGTTGTGCAAGTGGTACCGGCTGTATTTCTGCCGAGTCCTGCGCGCCGTGGGTCACTCACCAAGGTCTCTCTGGGCTCGGCGCGCGGGAGCGCGCGGTGGTGCGCGGTGGGGCCCCGCAGCCGCTAGTGGGCGCTGTGGGTCCGTGGAAGCCAGCGAGCCGCGTCCCAGCCGCTCGACGCGGGCACTTCGCCCAGGACCCAGGGAACAGTTCCTGCCACCGCTCCATTCGGCGCTATTTGTCACCGTTACCCCTGAATTCCCGGTCACCTTGGGGACGCCTGAGTGTGTCTCGGAAGCCAATCAAGGAGAGGGTCCCGTGGACGCCTGTCGGTGCCGCGCGGGCGGGAAGTGAGCGCCGCAGAGCGGGCACGACTGAGGCCCGGGGTCGTCACGCAGCGTCCAGCCCGCTGACAGGTCGGCCCCAGTTCCTTTCGGTACCGAAACCAGGTGCGAGGCGCGCCGCCCGGAGGCCTGGCCGGGAGGTGAAGAGATGCGCGTGAAGGCTGCGCTAGGTCCGAGGGGAGCGGACACTGCGTTATGAAGGAGCCGCGGGGACCGCGGCCCGCTCTGCGGGGAAAGTTTCGACGTTGTCCCTCCATTGAAGTCGGGGCACTTGCCAGGCAGGAAGGGCGCGGGGACAGGTGGCCCCGCTCCCCCGCGACCGGCCCTGCAGGCCCGCAGCGCCACTCCGGGGGTGCGGGTGCACGCGCAGCCCCAGCTGAGTCCCTGGCTCCGCTCCCGCCGCCGCCGGGGCGGGGGCGGGACTCACCTGTCAGCCGGCGCCCCGCCTCGAGGCACCCAATGCCGGGCGGGGGTGGCTGACGGACGGGCGGGCTGCCCAACCCGCGAGAGGCTGCGGCGCGGGGACCAATGGGAGGCGCGGCGCGGGGCGGGGCCCCACGTTTATAGCGCTCTGACAGCGCGCCGGCGGCGCTGACTCTCCTCGGCGGGGACGGCGGCTCCGGTTGGAGTGAGGAGCCGCGCGCACAGCCGGTCCCGGCGCCCTCCCCGCACACAAAGGCCCGCGCGCGTTAGCCGCCCGCGGCGGGGACCGAGCCCTCCTGCCTGCTCCGCGGGCCAGGAGACGCAAGGCCTGGGGAGGCTCCCTCGCGCCCGGAGGCGCCCCTCGTCGCTCCGCGCCCCGGGACATGGAACCGCGCCGACGCGGCGCCCGCGCGCTCGGGCCGCGGCCCGCCCCCCTGGATTTATAGTGCGAAGCGGCCCTGCTCGGGGCGCACAGCCCGTCGCCCGCGCGTCGTTTCCGTCTTTGTGTCCCGGCCGCGCGCCCTCCCCACAGCCCGCGCCCGGCACCCTGGAGCCGCACGGGAGCCGGCCGGCCGAGCTGCGTCCGGCGCGGCGACCCGGAGCCCCGAGCCCGCCGCGCCGCCGCGCCCCGCGCCTGCGCTCCCGCCCCGCGCCCTGAGGGCCCCGAGGGAGCGCCCCCGCCTCGGCAACCGCTGGAGCTGCTCGGCGCGCCCCGGAGCTGCCTGCGGTCTCCGCCTTCTCTGCGCGTTGGATTGGGGCCCCAGGCCCGCGCCCCGTCTCTCCGCCGCCCGGAGTGCGCGGAGCTGGGAGCGGCTTGACCATGGCCGCGAGGAGGGACTCCGTGTGGAAGTACTGCTGGGGAGTTTTGATGGTTTTATGCAGAACTGCGATTTCCAGATCGATAGTTTTAGAGCCCATCTATTGGAATTCCTCGAACTCCAAGTAAGTGGTGTCCGGGGTCCGCCGCGCGCACCATCCGGGCGGGAGGAAGGGTCGGGCAGCAGAGCCTCGCAGCCTGTTTCAGGAGCCTCGGGTGCCCCCGCACCACCCAGCCCCCTGTCCCCCATCTCCGCTCATTGCACTTGGCGACTTTTCTCTCGGCTTTCCAGCCAGGGCGCCGGCCCTAAGGGACGCCCTGCCCACCTTCCGTTCCCCGTCAGCTTCTTGGCTCTAAAAAGCCTCTGGAGGCTCGCGTGTCAGGTCCGGGTAGGTGTCCGATGGCGATACATGACCCTCGCTTCTTTTCGAAGACGGAGAACAAGGCCACAGACGGGGCTGGCCCGCGTGCAGGCCCGGCGGGCTCCGGGCAGAGGCGGGGATGCTGCGCTCCCGAGGATCCCCGGAGTCGGTGCGGCCCCCGCGGGTGGGCGGCGGCGGCGGCGGGCGCGGGGCAGCGGAGCGCACGCCGGAACCGAGCCTGTGGTCCCTGGGCTGCCCTCAGCGCCCCGGCGCCCGCGCGCCTAGGCGCCGCCCGCCCGGGGATGCGCGGGGAGCTGGGCTGCTCCGCGGGAGAACCAGGAGGCGAGCCCTCTCCGCATGCCCGGGGACTGGACTTAGGCGTCTACGGGGAGGCCTCTCCCTCCGTTTCCAAGCCAATGGCCCCGAACTCTGTGCGATCCCGAGAGCCGACTTGATTTTTGAGGACGCGTTTTGCAAAAAGCGTAAGGCCCAGCCCAGGCGACACCGTTCCTGAAGCCTTCGCGCTTGGGATGCCGGGGCAGGAGCGGGGCCTTTTATCAGACAGCGCGGCCGGGGGAACGGCAGGCCTTTGGAGATTAAGTGTGAGCCACCAGAGCAGCACATCTGGGATTTAGAACAGGCGATCCATCCCTAAATCCATGTGGCCACGACTCCTAATTAGCCATCTACGCATTCAGTATTGTGTATATTACCTCATTCTCGAGATACATTTCGAATCACAGCCAAAAGTATTTTACAGAACCATGGAATGTTAGTCGTGGGAAACTTGGGGAAAGTATGGAGGCATCGGCTGTTCCTGAGATCAGAAATAAAGTCAGTGACCTAATGGAGCTTGATCAAGTTGGCCATGGATTTAATAAAGAGTAAAGAGATGAGGGATTAATTTAGAAAGCACATCTTAATTAAAGAATTATACCCACTCTCTTAAAAGTGGTAAATTACAAATTTACCAACATGTTTACCAAGAACTCCCTGTTACAAAGGCAAGAAACGTCACAGCTGTAAATCGGATAAACAAATTCTTGCAGTATGCTATGCTAGATGGCATTTACGAGCGCCGCTCAAACTTAAAAGTAATGTAGCCTCCCTCCATGTAGCCTGATCTTGCATGGCCTTTTTGCCTTAACGTAAGATGCTGTATTTGCTGAGAATGTAGAAGCAATGACATCTTCACACAGAAACCGAATCCTGAGGCACCAGGTTGTGCGGGAAAGTGCCGGGCTGGGTCCCGCGCGCCGCAGCCGGGTCTAGCGATGCGAGCCGGGCCGGTAATGGGCCGGGAGCGGGGACGAGGCAGGCCAGTGTCGCTTTGCGCCTACAGAGGTCACTCTAACATGCGCAATGCTCGAGGCGCCGGCCTCACCCCTTCCCCCAAGCTGACTGCTCCTCTCCACTTGGCACTGTTCCCTGACCGACTGTCTTGAGGGGTCGAATCCTCCTCCCCACCCCTCCCCCCACCATCAGGACCTAATATTTATATTTAAGTCTTACATAAGTAAATTCCCATTAAACCCCCCAGCGCCCAGCTCAGTATATGTATTTCTATATTAACTGTTAGTTGGTGTGTTTTGGGGAGGAGGATTAGAAATACCTTTCCCCCCCCAAAAAAAGTAGAGAAATAATTATTTCAACCTAAGGTTTAGACATTAACGACATTAACATCTTATTTTTCTAATATGTGGCAGAGGGACAGGAGAGGAGAATGGTATTTCCTTACCATCCTGATTTTGAGGGTTAATCTGTTTTTCTGAGCTGTGGCCATAGATTTACAGACCTGCTGGAGGGAGGCCTGAATTTTGGAGAAGCCTGCCTTCCCTGCCCTGATGCCTCTTGGCCTGCCTGCTGCCGTTCTCAGGAGTAGAATTTCTTTTAAATTCTCATGATAATGGCTTGCCCTGGAGGACTGGATAATTTGTCCCTGGAAAAGGTCTGCTTAGTAAAGTATGCAGCTGAATGCTAGCTTGAGAGATCAGAGAGATTTCTTCCTGGAGAAATGATATCAAAGAGCCTTTTCTAAGTTGGAGATGAATAAAAACCCTGGAGCCAAAGAGTAGCTCTGTTTGGGGAAGTTGTATATTTATTTTCAGGGAAAAGTTTCAGTCAATAAATGTGATGTGGCAGGAAGGTAATTAAATGCCCTGAAGTTTCACATCAGTTCATATGAACTAAGGAACAATTCATTTGTAAAGAAGCAACATCAGTAATTAGATTTGTTTCATTCGAGGTCAGCTTTTTTAGCAGGTGGTCGACATAGGGAGCTTGAAGCAGCTGTTGGATACAGGGTCCAGAAAATCCTTTGTAAATTCACTGTCTTCATCACTGCTTTAATCACACTGCCTGCTGCTCACATCCCTGAGAGTTTATGCAGCATCAAAAGAAGTTCTGTATACCAAGATACTAGCCACTGCCCTGTCAGTGGATCATTCATTCTCTCTGCATCCATAGGCTCTGCAGAGTTGCATCAGTTGTAGCCATTCAGGTTGCTTAATCTGTTTTTTTTTAACTGGAAGAAAATGTTAAAGCTTGGCTTTCATTTCCAATTAACATTTCATTAGAACACTTTTTTCCAAGCATGGTGTTTGTGCCAAAATAAAAGAGCTCTTTTTCTACAAATATTAATTTCACTTTAGAGTGAACAACTCGATATTAGTATGATGTTCTAAAATGAATTACATGGACTTTGTTGAAAATTTCAGTTGAGCATTAAGCTTGTATGTCTAGGGGTGCTGTTCTCTGTGTACCACATACTAGTTAGTCTAGGCATTTTCCTTTTCCCATGTCATTTCTCCCTACATAATACTGAATTCCTGATATTGATTGACTTGATACAAAAGAATGGCTGGATAATATCCAGATAACCTATAATACATGGGCGCCACCACGGTCAGGCTCTGAGTAAATACGGACCTGTCAAAGATTGATAAAATAAACTACAATGGATAGTGCTGTTTAAACAGTCCATTCAATGCCATATATAAGCCAGTCTGCCTTCCATTGTGTCTGAAATTCTTATTTTTGTAGGTAAACAAATGCACATTCAGCCCTGATTGAATAGCCCCTTGAACTATGCTCCACAGTTTGCATTTGGGTTAATCTTGTCGGTTTTAATATAGAGAGAAAAAAGGCACAAAGCACCAGGGGTGGAATTGTTAGTGCTTTCCCATCCCCATTCCGCACATTTTGTCAGGATGATAAACTATAGGGAATGGACTGTCGCCGTTCCATAGGACAGCCGAACCCGGGAGAGCACAAAGACGGAGCTAGCGCGACACCTCACACCGGGCTCAGTAGCCCTCTTTTCAGGCGAGAAGAGAATTTATTTGGGAATCATGTGTCTAGGGACTGCACTTTTTAACCTCAGCAATTACAGCTTCAAGCCTCAGAAACAGGAGCCGGAGGTTAAGATGATTTGTTAAACACTTGGTTCTAAATCTTTCACAAAGCGTAGCTGTTGACACTTGTCCTCACGATGCAAAGAAATGCAAATAAGTCCCAAGATTCCTAAATTGTTCTGACTGTGGTCTAGGAAGACAGGTGAATTAGCTGGCATCCCCAGACCAGCTAAAAACTACAGATTGGATTGCTTTCTCTACTTGGAGTCAACTGAACAATAACTAGTATATTTAGATGACTTATCGTTAGCCCCCCGCCCCCCCCGCCGCGGCTCTAAGTGTCCCGAGGTGAATCCTTTGGTCGGTGGAGAGCACAGCAATTACCTTCAGGGGCCCGGCGCGGTGGCAGCAGCTCGCTGCTTCCTTGCCTTCCACTGAAATGCTTCAGGTCGCTCCCAGGAGGTAGTGTGACACCTGCCTTAGCGCGACGTTTCCCGGGGGTGTCTGTCTAATGGGAAACGATTTGCGATCCCAGCTTGACTGCAATGATGCGTCATAGGAATGGGAGTGGCAGCGGGGAGGAAAATCAGGCTGTCGACCCTCAGTAAAAGACATTTTTCAGGAAGGCTGTTTCTTTAACATTTTATGAAAACTTTATTCTTAAACTGTTCCACTGCAAAGTAAGCAAACGAAGGGCTCTTCCATGGAAAATGATTAAAATGGTGCTCCCCTCTCTGCCTCATCTCTGCCTCGGTTTGCTGCTGACATAAAGAGCCTGTTTTTCAGGTCACTTATCATACATCTACATAGATTTGCTTATGAGCTCACCCTTTGTGTAGCGAAGTAGAGCCTTAAATAGGAGTGTTCAGCTGTTTAAAATATTTTGATTAAAATATGCAGAACCCATAGAACTATAAGCTTCTTCAGGAATTAGCTCTTTCAGGGAAGAGCTCCCTGCAACCTTTTTTTTTCAGGGAGGAATTAGAATAGGGCCGGGAAAGGAATATAAGAAACGCAAAGAAGGAAGGATCGCGAGTGGGACAGCGCGCCGAACAGCTTGGAAAAACTCCTGTGGCTTCATTGTCTCTCCAAAGCTAACGAATACAAAGACATAAGCAATTCAGCCCTTCTCCCATGATGGAAAATGTAAGCCGTTGACACGGCTCCCCTGTTTAACTTGTTTAATTCTCATTTTAAATTCAGTACTATACTAGCCGTGTGAACTCTGAAGATTTCTTTAGTAATCCATTTTGTAGTTCCGAATCAAAAACAAAGTGAAAGGGTCTGACACAATTTGCTTTTATTTTTAGGCAAATCAACCCTGGTCATAGTTAATAAGGGGATTACAACCCAGTCTAGGTCTTTACAGATGTAATGTAAATCAAGGGCAGAGTATAAAGAAACTGATCC